ATCTTTTTCCGTCGGTGAGCGCTTCGCTTCCTCTTCGAGAGATATCAATAGATTGCTAATCAAAACTTTCAACACCTTGTCAAACTGTTGTGCAGTGAGTCGTTGTTTGGGTAGTGATGATGCTGTAGCATGGGGCCCTCTTTCGCATGAGGGAAGGGGGAACCTCGAGGCGCCCGCTATCTCAGAGGGGGGCTCCCTGGGGGCCCCTGAAAGAGGGAGGGGGGGCCCCTCGAGTCTGTATCAAAGTCTGCCGTCAGGATGGTCTGTCTCCAGTTATCTCAGCGTGAAGTTGGTACTGTATTTCTATCTCCGCGTTCGATGGTTCTTTGGGGGGTCAAGGAAGTGTTCTATCAATTCTCTACAATGTTAGCCCTGCAGCAAAGGTGTAGCAAGGTCTGTCTGAAGCAGATACATGAGCACGTACCTGGCCTTAGTAGGCAGTAGTCTCTAAGCAGGAAGAGGCGTAATAATTGTCATCAGTGTTAATGCAGGCAACGAAAGAAAGTTTGATTGTGCTTGCATGCGAAGGTGCTTCTCAGCATTTCTAAAAAAGGGGTGCGTTGAAGTTCATCTCAGGTAGCCTCCTCTCCACCATTAGACTGCGGTGCTCAGAAAGTCTGGGGAATAAGGGGGAGATCAGCTGCAAATTAGGAATTCATATCTTTAATCTTTTAGTTCAGTCACAGCTCATAACGCTCGTTGGATGCAATCCAAGACTGTCGTTACACTTCGTACCCCCTTACCACCGCATGGCTCTTCGGAGTTGCCCGGTACATAGCAGTGACTAATGCCGAAGATACAATGAAAGAGAACGTTACGCACTCCCGGAATCTTTTTTTTAAAACATCAACCCTTTCTCGTCTTGCACCATGGAGATTGATCAGGATATCCCCGCTGGCGGGAAGGCGCGCAACGGTTGTGAGCCTCGTTGCGTTGACACCGCCTCAGCTCAGTATCACACCCACCAATAAATCTTTGCAGCGAAAAGCATTGATGGAGAATGCCTCCGCCCCTTCCCGCCGTCCAACTAGGACAGGCCCTGCCTTGGGGGGCAGTGAAGGAGGTCCTTGCTTTTTGACGTTGTATTTTCGTCCTCAGAGTGCACCGGAAGAACTACAGTTACTATTGAAACTATGGCTTAGAAGGGAAAGCACGACAATGGTGGGTATATCTTTCCCCATACACACCCGGATTATGGAAGCCTTTCGAGATTCGCTGGGATGCAAACTTATTTTCATCTCTGCATGGGAGGTATGACATGGTTCACCAATTTATTCATCATGTGGCTTCGCCCCTTTGTGCAGATTTCAGTATATTCCGACGGCAACCACAAGACTGCGTTATACTCCGCAGTTGCAAATTAGATTGCATCTTAATCCCTTGTAGACTCGTGAAAGCACGTGCTGAACTGCATCTGCCGGATGAACGCTATGTCTTGGGCCCAATCATTTGGAGTAGATTGTCTTCTCCTTGGACGGCGTCCTTGTATTCAGCAGGAATCTGTTGCAGCATTTGTAGCACTTGCGGCATGCGCTGCAACTGCAATATTGCAATATGAAAATCCGGTGTTTGAAAACCCGCTAACGTTTTCGTTTTTACATGAACACCAGATGCTAAGAAAGATGGAGGCAATATACAGGAAACCTCTTCCCCGCTCCAAACTGGTCATCACTCAGATATCTCTGGCACGCCTGAAGGGTACAGAAGATTTTTCAAGATTTCTATAGCAAACAAATGGTTTGGTGGCTGTGCCGGTCTATGCAGACTTTACACTCAAGTAGATCAACGGTATCACCAACGTCCGTTGACAAAAGCTCGCGACCCCCCATGGGGCAGGCACTTCGTTCTGCAACTGAGCTTGACTAAGATGACTCCCGTTTCCTTTCTAAGCTGCCTTTTCCTACTCCTTAGATACTAAGGCTGGCGCGATTCTTGCAAAGCTCAACAATGGGCGACGGAATATGCATTACGGTATAGATGCCAATCTCTTGGGGTTCAGCCAAAGCGCAGAGATCGCTTTACCTTCTCAAAGTTGAAACTGACTGATGAAAGCAAGCACCGTTTGTCATCAACTGCAGAATTCCCTGCACAGATTGCTGGACCCAGACACTCCGAGTGTGTTTCTAAACCCCCTTCGTGCGAAGCAATTTTTCAAGAGCATCTACGTGCTTCCGTCCACTCAGCGTCGAGTACAAGCGTACACGAGAAAAATGTAAAGCAGAGCCACGTGCAAGCTATTGTTGGCAAATGCTCCTTCATGCATGAAAAAGTGAGACTATTGGGGAGAATCTAAAAAGTTAGAGGAATTATTTCTTTTTGACTGTGCTTTCTCTAGAGCAAATTATTATTCTATATACTCCATTCCCGTTATGTAATCCTAGATCCGGTGGCGCTGCCTGTAACACCTTCCTTTTCCCCATACTTTGGAACCGTCCCTTCCTTTGGGGCCAGCCTGACCCTTGGCCCGCTTGCATACTGATGCTCATCTCCTGCAGCAGTTTTCAGCAATTTTCTTTCTACTCTGGAAAGCCCCCATTAAGAGGCAGCTCTCAACCCGGGCCCATGGCAGAGTGCACCTTGATGACAGGTCGCACATCCGGGCTGCAGCAGCATCATGCAACAAATATCAGCAGCAACAGCAGCAATAGTACCAACTGTTTCTCATGCTCCAGCAACAAACCAATAGCAGCAGCTGCAACACAACATGCGGAGGGCTGCACTTGCAGCCCCGCTCAGAGGAATGGTGATGCTGAAGTATTTCAGAGGCAGCAGCAGCAACTACAGCAACAACAACACCTGCAAGAGCAATGATAGCAGCAGCAACACCAGCAGCACTAGCAAATGCAGCAGAGAACGTATATGAGGGGGCCTATCACGCTGTGCAGCGCTTCCTGTTGCACCGCCTGCCTTAAGGCAACCCCGCATGCAAGTATGTAATAGTCGCGTATTTGTGCATGTACTAACACTGAAAGCAATTGTTAAACCTTGACAAGGCTGTTAGCAAGTAGAAATATACTCCCCAGCCCCACCCATAGCAACACTCCAAATCGAAGGCCTTTATGCATTGTGCTCAGGCGCATGCATTCCGCGAAGCGCTACAATTAGTTATTACTCTGCATTTAACTCCAAGCAGCTAGCTGGATAGCTAGCTATGGCTAGCTGCAGCTGGCTGCTGCGTGTAAGAAAGTCTGCCGCATGCCTGTTACGGTGTACGGACATGTGTATGCCTCTCAGAGTGCGCGACTGAGGGCTGTGGAGGACCTCCAAAGGAAAAACAGAAAAAGATGAAATTAAAGTGAAGACAAAACACTAAACAAGAGAAAACAGTATTACACTCTCAACAAGAATGTGTCTGAGTAGGGTATTAAGAGCAGCAGCTAAGAACAGTACTAACAGCAGCAGCTGCTGCTGCAGGCTGCCTAGCAGCGTATATTGAAACAGGGGGATATAGCATCAAGAAAGAAAAGTATTTCTTTATCTTTTATTAGTTTTTTTTGTGTTTGCTTAGAGGGAGAGGCAACAGATCTCTCGTAGACAACAGACAGCAAACGAAACAGCAAACAAACAGAGACAAGCTATAAAGAAACAGAGACAGACAGCCACATGTCTTCCTTCTGGGTGTCTGTACAGGGTGCGGGGGGGTTGAAAAGAGTAAGGAATAAAGATAAAAAAGAAATAAAAAACAAACAAAGATCTGAATAAACAAAATAAAAATGCGGCAGTACAGACAACAGAGACAGAGCGTCAAGCCGCCCCCCACGATGCCTCGGGCGGAGTCTTCTGTAGTATTTGCTCTGTGTTTGTCTGTCTTTGCCTTTTTAAAGTAATAAACTTAAATATAATAACAAATTAAATGGTGTGTATTCAATAATTAAACCAGGAGCTGTCTGTACACCGCAGCCGCTCCCACTGTGGAACAGCTGGGGGGTATAGGCACCTCCCGCTAAAGTCGTCTTTCCTTTTCTTCTGCTTTACAGTGCATGCAGCAGCAGCACCAAGATGTGTTTGAGTCTTATTTAGTCCTTTGTCTCTTTCACATACAGAAAACCAAGCAGCAGCTGCTGCAGTTGCTGCTGCTGCAGCAACGCCCGCCGCTGCTGCTGGGGTCCGTGGGGTTGCTCTCATACATACACACTCCTTTTGCTGCTGCTGCTGCTGCTGCTGATCTAGACGGTTTGCCTCTACACATTTGCTTGTCCTGCACGCGTGGAGGAATACACCGCTAGCAGCAGCAGCAACTGCAGCAGCAACTGCAGCAGCAGCAGCAGCGGCAGCAGGAACAGTCCCGTCTCTCTCGGCTTCGAGAGTCTCCTGCAGCGCCCCTGAACTCTTTCCCTTATCACAGCAGCAATTGCAGCAGCTGCTGCTGCTTCTCCTCTTTCTGCTTCCGTTTTTCGGTGGCAGCAGCAGCACTCTGTCGGAGACTTGCTGTTGCTGCTGCTGCTGCAGCAGCAGCAGCAAGAGAACAGTAGCTGGCAGCCACTCAGCTGAAGCACATCTCATGTTTCTGTACTTCCGCCTATCTCAACCCAGTGGTGACCGAACTGCAGCAGCAGAAATAGCAGCGGCAGCAGCAGCAGCAAGACTAGCATCCACACCAGCAGCAGCAGCAAGTCTAGCATCCACACCAACAGCAGCAGGAAGAATAGTACCAGCAACAGCAGCAGCAGCAGCAGCATCAAAAGCCGCAAAGAGCTGCAGCAGCAGTCAAACCTGTTAGACACCGCTGCTGCGCCGAGTAAATGACCTCGGCAAAGCCTTGCAGCTACACCTACGTGCTTCGGGGTTGCTGCAGCAACAGCAGCAGCAACTGCAGCAGCAGCAGCACTATGAGCAGCTGCACATAGGAATAACTGTAGAGTAGTTGTTTGAACCCCAGCGGTGGAGCAGCAGCGCTTCGTTCAAGGCAGCAGCAGCACCAGGAGCAGCTTGCAGCAGCAGCAGCAGCAGCAGAAGGCGCAGCAGCAGTAGGAACAGCAGCAGCAATAGCCTCAGCAGAAATGGATTTAGATGCAGCTGTAGGAGACGAGGGGGAGGCCTTGCGGGTCTTAACTGAAGCTCTTGATATTCACCGTCAACATCCGCAGCAGCAGCAGCAGCAGCAACAGCAGCAGCAGCAGCAGCAGCAGGATGAGTCAAGGCAGAGCGAGGGAGAGCCCCGGCAGCTTGATTACGAGCAGCAAAAGCAAGAACTGCGAGGCGAGCAGCAGCAGCTACAGCACCTGGAATGGCAGCAGCAATTGCAGCAGCACCAGCAACAACTGCAGCAACACCAGCAACAACTGCAGCAACACCAGCAGCAACTGCAGCAGCAGCAGCAGGAATGTGCTGATGATGGCCTGGGCTCACTTGGTGAGCTAGAGCGGCGATTGCGTTCGTTGGGTGTATTTGCAGGGCAGCAGCTTCGTGCGGTGCAGCAGCAGCAACAGCAGCAACAACAACAGCAACAGCTGCGCCAGCAGATGCAGCAAGAGGAGCTGCAGCAGAAACTGCAGCAGAAACTGCAGCAGCAGCTGCAGCAGCAGTTGCTGCTGCAGCAGCAGCAGGAAAGAGCTGCTACTGCTGCTGCCTCGACTCCACCTGGGTTTGAGGAGATGTTCCATGGATACACCGCAATGGGCAGGTCACCCCTGCAGCAGCAGCAGCAGCAGCAGCAGCAGCAGCAACAACAACAACAACAGCAGCTTCAGGGGGAGGCGAGGCTACTGCAGCTCAAGCAAAAGCAATTACAGCAGCAACTGCTGCTGCTGCAGCAACAGCAGAAACAGCAGCAACAGCAGCAGCGGGTTTCTGCAGAGGGACGGCTCCACGAGCCGCAGCAGAATTGGCTAAGGGAAGACACTGATCTGCAGCAGCAGCTGTGCCAGCATTACCTGCAGCAGCAGCTGCTGCAGCAACAGCAAGTGAGGCAGAAGCATCAGCAGCAACGCCAGCTGCAGCAGCAACAGCAGCTCTTGGAAGCGCAGCAGCTGTCCCAGCAAACGCAGCAGCAGCAACAGCAGCAGCAGCAGTGCTCCTTCTTGCCGGCACTCCTGGACCTTCAAACTGCTGCTGCCGCCCAGCAGCAGCAGCAGCAGCGGCTGCAGCAAGGCCTTGCAGGTGAGGGTTGTGCGTTAAATCCCGATGCAGCTGAGTTCGTGCCCGCGCGTTTGCAGCAGCAGCTGCAGCTGCAACAATGCCGCAGCGAGGGCGCAGCAACAGCAGTGACGACAGCAGCTGCAGCAACAGCAGCAGCAAGCAGCCCACCACAGCAGCTACTGACAATTGAAGATGCAGCTTGGGAAGAGGTGACTGTCCTACAGCCGCTGAGCAGCAGCAGCAGCAGCAGCAGCACCTGCAGCAACAGTGCTGCCCAGTATGCGGGCTGCGCCTGTGGTTCGCTCTTTCGATTGCAGCAGCAAGACGACGAACTCTGCATCTCCAAGCTTGAAACAGGTGCCTCTTTGCTGCTGCTGCTGCTGTTGCTGCTGCTGCTGCTGCTTAGGGTGCTAATGCCTTTTTTTCCTGCTGCTGCTGCAGCGGAGGACAAGCGTGCGGCTTTTTGATATTTTTTCAGTTGTCCGAGGTGCTTTTGCTTCCGGCGCAGCAGCAGCAGCAGCAGCGGCTGCAGCTGCTGCTGCTGCTGCATCGCTCCATGGCGGTGCCGCGCCAACAGAAGATGTTGTCTTTGCTTTGAAAGTCCAAGACAGCCCTGTGCATGCGTTTGCTGTTGCTGCTGCTGCTGCTGCTAGTCCTGTTGCTGTTGCTGCTGCTGCTCCTCTTGTTACTGGGCTTCGGGCTGTCTTCAGCAGCTTTGCCGATATTTGGTTAGCATGTCCCTTTATGCGATTTGGAGCTGCTGTGATGCATGCATAGAGAGTGTTATCTTGCATTGCTGCTTCTGCTGTTGATGCTGCTGTTGTTGCTGCTGCTGTTGCTGCTGCTGCTGCTGCTGCCGCTGCTGCAGTAGCTCCTCTAGAGGCCAGATGGGTGCCGTTGAAAATTAGAGGGGGCGCGGCGCCCTCCGTGCGCCGCGCCTTCTTTCTGGCTGCATGCACAGGAGCAGCAACAACAGCAGCAACAGCAGCAACAGCAACAGCGAAACCATCTGCAGCATCGAGCAGCGAGGGCTTCACAGCCACCAGCGGAGACAGCAGCAGCAGCAGCAGCTGCGCATTAGACACGAATTGTTCAGGTGTCAGTGAGGCCCCTGGAGCGGAAATTACAACAGCAGCACCAGCAAAAGATGCAGCAGAAGGTGCAGCAGAAGATGCAGCAAAGGATGCAGCAAGTGCTGCTGCTGCTGATGGCGGCGGCGTACCCGGTACCGCGGACGCAGCAGGAGCTGCTTCGCAGCTGGAGCAGCAGCAGAAGCAGCAGAAGCAGCACGGTGAGCAACAAGCGGAACGGCCAGCAGCAGAGCAGGATGCCGATGGTGCACTCGGCAGCAGCAGTAGTAGTGACAGCAGCAGCAGCAGCAGCAGCAGCAGCAGCAAACCCCATGGATGTCTCTTGGCGGTATTTTCGGGACTTGACGCGAGGGGAGAGTTGAAAGACAAGGAGATATTCTTCTTCCATGTTGGTAGGCTCTTCTTGCTGCTTCTGCTGCTGTGTCTGCTGCTGCTGCTGCTGTTGCTTCTGGATGTGTGTTCAGTCGTCACTGTCGGTTTGTCTAAACTGTCTCTGTTTTTTTGGCGTTGCAGGATCAGGGATATGGGAGCGGCAGCAGCTGCATTGGGGTGTTTCCCCACAGCAGCAGCAGCAGCAGCAGCAGCAGCGGGGAGGGGAGGACGATTCGGAGGAGCCTGTGCTGCAGCAGCAGCTGGCGAGCCAGATTTGGGTCGCAAACTCCTCAGGCTCTTTCTTTTGTTTCTGTTCGATTCCGTCTGCAGACGGCAGTAAGCGAGTCGAGGCTGCCGTTGGTGGTGGTGGTGCTGCTGCTGGTTTTGCTGGTGCTGCTGCTGGTGCTTCTGCTGCTGCTGGTTCCGCTGCTGCTGCTGGTTTTTGCTGCTGCTGCTGCCGCTGGTTTTTCTGCTGCTTCTGCTGCTGGGTTGCTTGTTGCTGCGCAGGCCTGCTGCTGCAGCTTTTATTTCTCTAACTTTCTTTTTTTGTTTTTGTGTTGTGCTGTTTCGTTGGCTGCCCTTCTTCGTGCTAACAGCAGGCAAGGAGAATCGCTTGCTGCAGATACACCTGAAATCCCTCGCTGTAGAATTGCTGTACACCTCCGCAGCAGCTGGAGTCTCGACTTCGCAGCAGCAGCAGCAGCTCCCACAACAGCAGCAGCAGCAGCAGCAGCAGCAGCAGCAAGAGCCGAGGCTTAGGGAGGACGTCTGTTTGGCAGCATCTACAGACGGAGATTTGTTGTATTTGTTTGGGGTTCGGGAGAAGAGTGAAAAGCAGCAGACATCGCTAAAAGAAGAAGTTATATTAAATGATTTGTGGTGTTTTGATATCAAAGACAGACGCTGGAAATGCCTCAAAAGCAGCGCCAGGTGTACAGACACCTCAATTTGTAAGGGGTACGTAGCACTTTCTTGTTTCTCTCTTTTCTTTTTTTCTTTTTGCTGCTCTCCACTTTGTTTGTGTCTATTGGATACCTCGGCTGTCTCCGTTGTCTGTAGATCTGCTCTGCTGCTGTCTCATTGCTTATCGGCTGTTTTCCTTTCTGCATTTGTTTGTTTGTTTTGTTCATTTGTTTGTTTGCTGCCCTTGTGCATTTGCTGGTTCGTTGTTGTTGTTGTGTGTTTGTTTCTTTGCTGTATTTGTTTATTTGTTTGATGTATTTGATTATCGGTTGTTCTTTGTTTGCTTGTTTGTGTCTTCGTTTGTTTGTTTATTTCTGCATTTGTTTGTTTTTCTCCGTCGTTTCTTCATCGCTGCTGTCGTCTCATACTCTGCACAAACCCTAAACCCTAAACCCTAAAACCCCTAAACCCTTAAAATTCCGCACTGCTGCTCTTCTTCCCTCTCCAAGAAGGATCAGGGTTTAGCGTTTAGGGTTAAGGGTTTAACATTCTGGGTTTAGGGTTTACGATTGAGGGTTTAGGGTTTAGGGTTTACGATTTAGGGTTTAGGGTTTAGGGTTTTGTTTGGTTTCTCTGCAGCACTTCACTGTTTTCTTTTCGTGACGTTTTACTTCTTTTCAACGCTCCTCCTGCTGCAGGTACACCGGAGTGCATGCGACCGACTAGCTGCTGCTGTTGCTGCTGCTGCTGCCTGTGCTGCTGCTGTTTGCTGCTGCTTCTGGTGCCCCTGCTCCTGCTGGTTCCGCTGATGCTGTTGCTGCTACTGGAAGCAATTAGCACCATTTGCTGCGCTGCTGCTGCGTCTTGTGTGCAGCTGTTTGCTGTATGTCTCTTGTGGGGCGTCAGTGGGCGTCTGTCTCCCTTCCGAGTTCTCTCTCTGCTGCAGCAGCAACAGGATCTGCTGCTGCTGCTGTTTGCACTAATGCGCACATGTATATCCTGTTAGAGCAGCAGCAGCAGCAGCAGCAACATTCCACAGCAACGGCTGGCGCTGCTGGGGAACCACAACCGGACGAAGCTAACAGCAATTCGGAAGCGCAGGTTGAGGGCGCAGCAGCAGCAGCAACAGCAGCAACAAAAGCAGCAACAACAGCAGCAGCAGGGGGTCGGATGCTGCGGCTCTCTCTCGCTTCGCTAGAGGAGTCCGTTGCTATATGCGCCACAGCCTCTGCTGCATCTTTCGCAGGTTCAGCAGCAGCAGCTGGTACTGCTGCTGCAGCAGCTGAAGCAGTTGCTGCCGCTGCTGCTGCTGTTGCGCTTGAAGAGGAGGTTGAAGACCCAGCATCGGAGACAGCGCAGGATCAGGAGCAGCAACAGCACCAGCAGCAGCAACAGCAGCAATTGCTGCTGCAAATGCTGCAGCAGCAAACACGGCAGCTTGGGCTGCAGCAGCTATCTGCCAGTGTTGCTGCGACGGATGCATCGTTTGGTGGGGAGCTGCAGCAGCTGCAGCTGCAGCAGTTGCAGCAGCAAGTACAGCAGCTGCAGCGGGAGTTGGAGGAACTAAGAAATGAAAGAGTTTTGCTGCGGCAGCAGCTGCAGCAGCGGGAGGGCATTTTGTCTGCCTTGTCTATAAAGGTGCGCATGCTGTTTATTTATTTATTTATTTATTTATTTATTTGTCTGTTTGTTTGTCTCTCTTCATTTGCTTTCTTCAGTTTTTTGTTTGCCTCTGCATATGTTTTCTGTCTCTCTTCTTCTGTTGGCGTGCCTCTCCTCGGCTGTTGTTTATCTGCTCCTACAGCCTAGCTGTATCTTGCTGCTGCAGTTGCTGCCGCTGGTGATGCTACCGCTGCCGCTGCTGCTGCATCTGCTGCTGCTCTTTTGCACTGCAAGGCTCCAGGGTCTGCAGCGATTCAGCAGGCCGCCCTTCATTCTCCGTTGCTTTATTGCTGCTGCCGTTGCTGCTGCTGTTGCTGCTACTGTTGGTGCATGGCTTGAAGTTTGGTTGCCTCCATACGTAGTCTGAGCTTTTGCTGCTGCTGCTACTGCTGCTCTCCAGGCTACTGCGGTGCTGCAGCAGCTGCGAGAGGAGCGCAGCGCCAGGGAATTGCAGCAGCAGCAGCACGAGCAGCAGCAGCAGTTGCTGCTGCAGCAACTCCGGGCCAGAGACGCGCTGCTGCAGCAGCAGAAAGAGAAAGTGGAGACATTCGCTGCTACAGTAAGCATAGTGATATCACTGCAGCTCTTCTTCAAGGCTTGCTGCTTGGAGTACCTTTTAGCTGTTGCTGCTTCTGCTGCTGCTTCCTACCGCTGCTGCTTGCTGCTGATTCTGCTTGTTGCTGCTGTTAGCTGCTGCATGCATTCTGTCGCTTTTGAAATTTTCACCCCTACAGCAGGCGGGGCCCCTCTGTGCAACCCTTAGGCTTTCTGCTGCTGCTCTATTGCTGCTGCTGCTTTTGCAGGCGCAGCAGGTGCGGCAGTGTTTGCTGCTGCTGCTGCGGCAAAAAGAAGTTCACAGCGCTCACGCAAGCAGCAACGAGGTGGACGGAAGAGCCAGAGCCTGCAGCGAGGAGCAGCAGCAGCAGCAGTTGCAGCAGCAGCAGCAACTGCAACAGCAGCTGCAGCAACATTTGCAGCTGCAGCAGCAGCAGCAGCGCCAGCAACAACAGCAACCCTTAGACCTTCTGCACCAGCACACGACAGACCTTCATCAGCAGCAGCAACAGCCTCAACAAAAACTGCAGCAGCAGCAGTTGAAGCAGCAACACCATTTGTTGCAGCAACAGCAACTGCAGCAACAACAGCTGCAGCAACAACAGCTGCAGCAACAACAGCTGCAGCAACAACAGCTGCAGCAGCAACAGCTGCAGCAACAGCAGTTGCAGCAACAACAGTTGCAGCAACAACAGTTGCAGCAGCAACAGCTACAGCAACAACAGCTGCAGCAACAACAGCTGCAGCAGCAGCAGCTGCAGCAACAGCAGCTGCAGCAGCAGCAGCAGCAAGCAGATCCTTCATCCCAGACGCAAGCGAGATCAAGTGTGTGGGCAGCCTTCCCTCCCGCCGCAGCGGCAGCAGCAGCAGCTGCTGCTGCTGCTGTTTCTAATGCTGCTGCAGCTGCGCCTTCCTCAAGGCACCGCAGGAGGCCCCTTGGCAACGCATCGCGGGGGGGTGTGCAGCAGCAGCAGCAGCTGCAACTACAGCAGCAGCAGCTACAACAACAACAACAACAACAACAACAACAACAGCAGCAGCAGCAGCAACTCCAGCAGCACCGGCGACATCGCAACCAGCTGGCATAGCATAGGGACCGTCACAGGCAGTAGAGGTAGAGGAATATGTACTAGCAAAGCAGCAGCACTTCATTAGCAGCAATAGTTACAGCTGCAGCACAGGCAGCAGCAGAGCACGCGTGAACAGCTAAGCAGCAGCAGCAAGGCGTACAGAGCTGCTGCTGTATCTGCACCAAATAGCAATTCATCAGCGTCTCTTGAAGTAGTGTATATTATTATTACATGAGGGAGAGAGCGGCACAGCAGGGACTCGAGGTGTACAGACACCGTGCTAGTGACAGCAGCAGCAGCAGCAGCAGCAGCACCAGCATCAACAGCAGCAGCAACAGCAGCAGCAGGGGTGTCTCCCCGCACCGCAGCAGCAACTGCAGCCGCCGAGATGTTTCGCTGCTGCTGTTGCTGCTGGGGCAGAATCTCTGGCTGCTACAGGTAAGTGGAGATGCTTTAAGGTATATTGCTGCAGCAGCTCCTGGCTTGTGCTGCAGGAGCAGCAGCTGAGTGTTTGTGCGTCGCAGCAGCAGGTGCTGCTGATGCTTCGCATGCATGCGCTGCACCAACACCGCCTGCGTCTGTGCTGCAGCAGCAGCTCTGAGGTGTATGTGCAGAGTTGCTGCAACAGCGGCAGCAGCAATTGGTGCTGCTGCAACAGTAACAACTGCTGTTGCAGCAGCAGCAGCTGCAGGCCAGCCCCACAACAACAGCATCAAGCCGTAGCGCAGCAGGCCTAAGCTGCCCGAGTGCATCTTTAGGGCACTGCTGCTTTATTCTTTTGTTTGCTTCCATTGACAACAGCATTTTATATTTCCTCTCCTAGGGAAGCACCGCCTGTGCTGCTGCTGCTGCTGAGCATCGTGCGTCACTGCTGCTGTGGCAGCCTGCCTGGTGCAGCTGCAGCATAGCCCCGAGCCCGGCGGCCCACCAAACGCACTCGCGAGCAGCAGCAACAACAGCAGCAACAACAACAGCAGCAGCAACAACAACAGCAGCTGCAAGTACCAGGTTGACACGAAAGGGGTCTAATGGGTGATGTCTACAACAGCAGCAGCAGCTGGTGCAGGTGTTGGTGCAGCCGTTGCTGCTGTTGCTGCTGCTGCAGCATCTGCCGCATTCGCTGCTTCTCCGAAGCACCAGCAGCAGCGAAAAGCAGCAGTAGGCTGCAGCGTTTATAAGGTTGTTGCAGGCGCGGCCTGCGCCCTGCTTCCTTAGGGAGAAGCAGCAGCAGCAGCGGCTGTAGCTGGTGTTGCTGCTGCTGCTGTTTCATTTGCTGTTTGCTGCTCGTGCTGCAGCAAATGCGGTGAAGCAGAATGAGCAGCATAAGAAAGATATACAGCCCAAACAAAATCTAACAACGAATCCCAAGCAGGCCGCAGCGCCAGCGGCACAAACCTGAAGAAACAAACAGTGCATGCATCAACACGTACATGCATGCATGCATAGTTGCATGCATGCACAAATGCATGCATGCATGCACACAAGCCCCAGCAAAACAAACCAGAAACAACAAAAGCAGCAGCAGCAGCAATGACAACAGCAACAGCAGCAGCACCAACTCAAGCCGCAACAGACACCACAACAATAACAGCAGCAGCAACTGTTTGTTGCTTGCTTTTGGCTTTAATATTTCTTTATTTTGTTTACTTTGTTTGTTTAGTGGGACTGTGCGCTGCTTGCACTTTTCTTTAATATTTCTTTATTTTGTCTATCTATATTGTTGTCTGCATCTTATATTTCTCTATATATACATACATACATATATATTTATATAGGCGGAATTGCTTGTTGTCTCTAATATTATTTTATTTTGTTTATTAGAACTGTGTGGTGTTTGTATGTTAATATTCCTTTAACATGTTTATTTTATTTATTCATTGGATATGTTAGTCGTTTGTATTTTAATATATCTTTGTTTTCTCTTTTTATTTATTTAACTGTTTATTTTGTTTATTAGGACTGCGCGTTGTTTGCATTTAAATACATCTATTTTATTCATTTCTAAATTTATTGGATTTGTTTGTTGCGTGCATTTTGATATATCGTTATATCGTTATATTTATTTCATCTATTTATAATAACCATTTGTTATTTGCACTCAAATATATCTTTATTTTATTTACTTGCTCTGTTCATTGGATATGTTTGTTGTCTGCAATATATTTTTATTATATTTATTTCCATAATACATAAATATATTAATAGCATTTTAATATACATTTATTATTTTAATATATATTAATAATAATTGCATTTTAGCATACCTTTATTGCATCAATATATATATATATATATATATATATATATATATA